GAATTGTGCTATACAAATAAACTTGCCTTGCCTTGTTCATGCCCTATCGGCCCCCCTGGCTAAACTTTGCTAGATCCGTCCCTGCACAGTTACCAGCCATCAGCTACATAGAAAAAGATCAGCTTAACGCTGGAATGCTTTACAAACATTCAGAGATGAACTTACACACGTGTTTTACTTCTCTCTGGGATAACTTTGTCGGAGATTAAATGCTGGTTTGGTAACGAGGCTACAAATACACACAGGCGCTCTTCTATCACGTGACGCATACTGCTCTACGGTTATGAGCCGAGTTACGCCGTGTCACAAGTTTTGTGAGGTGCTTTGTTGATATTTAATGGATCGGATTACATTTTTTTATTTCTCTCCGATATCCGATCCAGTAATTTACGTCAGTATCAGACCCATACCAATACGTAATATCGGATTGGTCCATCTCTACTCCAGACTGAGACAGAGTCCAGCGCCTCTCCAGGTGACTGGTTCCAGAGCCCAAGCCATGCGTTGAGGTGAGCCCGACTATATCTAACCGGTACCTCTCAACCTCACGCACTAAATCAGACTCCTTCCCCACCAGAGAGGTGACATCCCATGTCCAGTTTGCTAGTCTTGGTAGCCGGGGATTGGTTCGCCAGGGCTGCTGCCCAGCACACAATGCACCTGACCCCTACGGTGCCTTCTATGGGAGGTGGGCCTGCAAGAGGATGGGCCCATGTCCCTTATTTGGGCTGTACCCAGCCAGGCACCCATGGACTAAGGCCCGGCCACCAGATGCTCGCCCTTGGGCACCCTCCCCGGGCAGGGTGAACTGTTCCCTTGGTGTTCTACTCATAGGCATCTTCTGAATCACTCTTTGTCTGGTCCCTCAGCCAAGACCATTTTGCCATGGGAGACCCTACCAGGAGGCCCTACCAGGGGGCAGAAGCCCCCAGACAACATACCCCTGGGATCCTTGGGACACACAAACACAAACCCCTCCACCACGATAAGGTAGCAATTTGCGGAAGGGAGAAAATTGTCGGGTGGTGGAAGGTATAAGTCGAGGATGTTCTTAATCCCACTGGCACATCTTCCGTGGAGGTAGCAGAGTCTGGGGATGAGGGGGATGACCCTCCAATCCCTGGGCACAAGGTCACTGAGGCAGTTAAACAACTCCTTGGTGGCAGAGCCCCTGGGGTCGATGAGGTCCGCCCTGAGTTCCTGAAAGCTCTGGATGTTGTAGGGATGTTGTGGTTGGCACGCCTCTACAGTATTGCGTGGAGATCAGGGGTGGTACCTCTGGATTGGCAGACCGGGGTGGTGGTTCCCATCTTTAAGAAAGGTGACCGGAGGGTGTGTTCCAACTATAGGGGGGGCACACACCTCAGCCTCCCTGGGAAAGTTTGTGCCAGGGTGCTGGAAAGGAGAGTCCGTCCGTTAGTTGAACCTCGGATACAGGAAGAACAATGCAGTTTTTGTCCTGGTCATGGAACACTGGACCAGCTCTTTATCCTCTCAAGGATACTTGAGGGTGCATGGGAGTTTGCCCAACCAGTCTACATGTGTTTTGTGGACTTGGAGAAGGCATTTGACCGTGTCCCTCAGAGTGTCCTATGGGAGGTGCTCCGGGAGTATGGAGTGTTTGGCCCATTGCTACGGGGCCATTCAGTCCTTATACAACCATTGCAAGAGCTTGGTATGCGTAGCCGGCAATAAGTCGGACTTGTTCCTGAAGGGTGATTGACTCCGCCAGGGCTGCCTTTTGTCACAGATTCTGTTCGTAATTTTTATAGACAGAATATCTAGGCGCAGCCAAGTGGCGGAAGGCTTTTACCTGGGTAGTCTCAGAATCTCATCGCTGCTTTTCACAGATGATGTGGTTCTGTTGGGTTCATTGCGTGATGGCCTCCAGCTCGCACTGGAACGGTTTGCAGCCGAGTGTGAAGTGGCGGGAATGAGAATCAGCACCTCCAAATCTGAGGCCATGGTCCTCAGCCAGAATGGTAAATGGACTGATTCTTACATAGCGCTTTTCTACTCTCCCTGAGTACTCAAAGCACTCTATACAACATGTCACATTCACCCAGTCACACCCATTCTCACAAGCACTTTCGCTCTACTTAGTGCTGTCTAACTACATTCACACACATTCATACTCCAATGGATGCATCGGAGAGCAACTTGGGGTTAGTATCTTGCCCAAGGATACATGACATGCAGACTGGAGGAGCCAGGGATCGAACCACCAACCTTCCGATCAGTAGGTGACCTGCTCTACTTCCTCAGCTACAGACACCCCAAAAAAAGGGTGGAGTGCCCACGCTGGATCAGGGACGAGTTCCTGGTCCAAGTGGAGGAGTTCAAGTATCTCGGGGTCTTGTTCATGAGTGACAGGAGAAGGGAGCGGGAGATCAACAGACGGATTGGTGCTGCGGCTGCAGTGATGCGGACGCTTTACCGGTCCGTTGTGGTGAAGAGAGAGCTGAGTGTAAAATTTCAATCTCAATTTACCGGTCGATCTACGTCCCTACCCTCACCTATGGTCACGAGCTGTGAGTAGTGACTGAAAGAATGAGATCGCGGATACAAGCGGCAGAAATGAGCTTCCTCTGATGGGTGGCTTGCCCTATCCCTTAGAGATAGTGTGGGAAGTTCAGCCATCCGGGAGGGGCTCAGAGTAGAGCTGCTGCTCCTCCACATTGAAAGGAGCCAGCTGAGGTGGATCGGGCATCTGACAAGGATGCCCCCTGGGATGCCTAGGTGTGGTGTTCCTGGCATGTTCCAGCGGGAGGGGGCCCAAGGGCAGGTCAAGGACATGCTGGCGAGATTATATCTCTCGGCTGGCCTGGGAACGCCTTGGTGTTCCACCGGAAAAGCTGGAGGAGGTGGCTGGGGAAAGGGAGGGGTGGGCTTCTCTGCTTATGCCCCCGTGACCCAGCCCCGGATAAGCAGAAGAAGATGGATCGATGAATGGATGGATGGACGTTTGTGCTTCTGTTCTGGTTAATCAAATTCTACAGGTTTTTTTAGGTTTTCACTTTGGATTACTTAAGACACATATAACACTAAGTGTCAATTTATGAATGCAGTTTGATAGCCAAGCTTGCTAGCATTAGCTGATGGCTTCGTACTCCACCTTCCAAATATGGCCACTTCTGGCTCTAAAAAGCAACATGATGCCCAAAAAAACCCAAAAAAAAACAAAAACAAAAAAACCCCCAAAAAAACAAACAATGTTAAGGTTCAAATATAGGAGTATCGAAGGTAACAGGTAATGCCACTGTTGCTATCTATCCATGTTTTCAACCACTAGCCCTAACAGCATGGTATAAAGTGCAGTCCTTTATACCTTACCTTATCACTGGTCTCCATATTGTGATTGACTTCAGGGGAAACCTCATCGGTATTAGCCGTGCCTGAGTCTGAGGGACTCTGGGGAATCACAGGTCTCTTTTTGAAATACTGAACCACAAAAACAACCTAGGAAGAGATAGAAGAAAAGTTGAATACATTTGATCATTCAAAATTATTCCTTTCACACGGATCAACCATTTGGATGGCAAGTACTTCCCTGTTACTGCAGGGAAATAGAGCTCTATTATTTTTGTTTACATTGTTTCTGTGACCCAGATCTTTGTCCCCACTAAGACTGTTGTTCACGAAGTGGAAAAAATTAATTCATGTTCATCCATGCAAGCACAGCTTGTGTGTGTGAGAGTGTCCTGCAGCAGTTTAGTCCATTAGATCGGTTTTCTATTAAGGAAAGAGTCTAAATATGTTTGACCAAGTTACACAATGATGTGCAGAAGTAAGGTGCTGAACTTACTCTTGGAAAGATTAATTATTTTGAAAAGCTGCTTGAAAATGTGCAGTTTTTTCTGACTTTGAATAAATGACTAAAATTTCAGTAAAACATGTCCTCCATCCAGCACCTGTACCTCTGAAGAACCAGGAAACAGGCAGGGATAATCATCACAGACCCCTCACACCCTGGACACAGACTCTTTGACCTGCTACCCTCTGGCAGATGGTATAGAAGCCTGCAGACTGGGACCAACCAACACAGGAACAGTTTCTTCCCCTCGCCATCTCCCTCCTAAACAGTTGAACTGTCACACTGCTCCCACTACCAGACCAGACCAGACAGACAGACAGATTCTTCAAACATTACATGTTCACTACAGCAGACCTAACACCTCCACAGAGTACTGAAGGTTGAGGTTTTCTATGAGTTTACAAATAAACAGTCATTTAACTTCAGGTTTGAGCTAGCATAAAATGCTGTGTTTATTGGCATATCTGTTTTTCATAATGACCCACTAATGAAGTCTACACTGATATGAATAAGCCTAATAATAACAGGAACTGACCAGAAAGACAGCAACAGCAGCACCAATGCCTTGTCCTGCTATAACATCACTCCAGTGGTTACGATATTCAGCCACTCTGTTGATGCCTGTTAGCAAAGCCAGACTGACCAATGAGAGGCTGACAAAGGGCCCAGCCAGACGCCCCACTGCAGATCCAACACAGGACATGATGTACATCTGAAAAGGAAGATTATTTCTCTGACACTTTAACCAAATATTACTTTATTGACATTGGTGAAGACTGTTGGATTATTTAAAGACAGATCTACTCACTGCCAAGTAAACAGCTAAGTAGACACTGAGTGCAGCCTCTTTGCAGGGAAATGTCTTCCTGGCTCTGATGATGTCATCAGGGTCACCAGTACAGCCATCTGACTGGCTCACAAAGAACGCTGTATCCTGGCAGCCGAGAGCAGTGTAATTGGGCTGGCACACAGACAGGAAGTAGGGAGCCAGACTTCCTGTGACCATCTGACCAGTACTAACAAAAATGTCTGTTGTAAACAAACCAAAGACAAAGACACCTACAGAAAGACACACAGGTGATATTTGTATACAACTTAAACCAACATAACTATTGCATAACTCACATAGGCTACATTATAGACGGTTCATTTAAATTCTGTGAAAATGGCCATTTTAAACATATCTGATCCTAAAACGTTAGAAGAGACACCATAATTGTGTTTAGCTCTACAGTAGCCCAGAACATTATTATAAGGACATTTTAAAAATGTCAGACACGACAACTGGGTTAATCAATGGTGGGAATATTTTGGGCTGGTCTTACATTACCAAGGAAACGGACAGTCCTGCGCACCATGGGGTTAACATAGCAGCAGTCTCCCACGACAACAACCTTCTCCTGCTCATAAAAGTTGTTTGAGTTGTAGTAAAAGAGGAAGATGACTACTTCCACCCCTGAAATCTGAAAAAAGAAGAAAAAAAAACACAGATTGAAAAACAAAATAAATTAAATAAGAATAAATTGGAGAAAATGTTAGCTGTAGTATACAGTACTGAAAAGTTTGCAGTAATGATGGCGTTGTCATATTCCAGTAATTTGCTGAAATGATGTAGCTTTGATTTTAAAAGTTACTATTAAATCAAATTTTTATTTGTTCACATGTTTTTATGTGATATGTTATTGACATGCAGTAAAACCCATATCATGTGTCAGCATTAGCATTTGACATTTTGTTGAGAAAAAAAATATTGAAGGTTCATCCTCTGCTATTTTAGCCACACACTAATTTTGACCCATTGAAGAGAAAACATCAGCAGAGCTAATGCAGAGGTGGGCGGGGCCTACCAAACAGCCACGTACAGCAACCACAAACAGCAGAAAAGACAAACACAGCCACCATGATGTTACCCTCCAGTTTGTAAAATCCCATTATGAAGCCTTATTGCACGTTTCATCTTCACCTTTTTAGTATTTCAAAATTATATGCGATGGGCGTGGTTCTGACTGCAACTCCGTTAACGTCGACTAACAACCCGTCAATCACACAATCAGGAAACATACACTGGATAATCATCCTCTCTGACACTTAAAATAACCACAATTTACAAAACTGACCATAAGCTCATCAGCAAAGTGTTTACAGAGGGTGAATATTAGAGACTGAGCCTGTGCAGGTATGGGAAAGACAATTTCCCAGCTGAACATCAGACTCAGTTTCCCCATGAATATCAGTATGGTGTGGAAGGAGGACAGAGCTTCCAGATAAAGGATACAGGTGGAACAACACCAACACATGGAGAAAGTTTGCACATATCCACTAGAACAGCAGCTTTTTCCTTCTGCCTCACCCTCACCCTGCCGTGAAGGTGGGGGGCTCAGAGATATTGATGACTTTGAGAAGGTGTTGTGGAACCTTGTTCCAGCACTGCTGAAATCACCTGCAGAGACCTGCTGCAATACTTATGTTCAATACTTATTTTACCTGCTGTGAAATGCACAATAATGCATGGTTCCATCCACTGCAGATATCGACTAACTGACAGATACTAACAGTCCATTAACATGCATGGCTTTCTGTAGCTCTATTGACTTACCAGTACAACAGGTAGTCCGCTCACCACAGAGTACAGTATTATAGGTGGCATGCGGCTGTTCTGCTCAGGTCCAGGATCAGGTTTGGTCAAAGTGGGATCTCTGCAAATGAAGCCCTGCTCTGCTGGACTGAAAGTGTCAGTGAACTCACAGTAGTAAACCAGCATGACTGTAGCAGCGAGTATCACCACCTGGAAGTACAGCATGATGGAGTCAGCATCGGTTACCACATTAGTCCAGTTGAACAGGAAAATCCAGCTTTTTGAGGTCTTTGCTGCTGATGTAATGAAGACAAAGTAGCCATTCAAATTTCAGTCACCATTTTTTTCCAAATCCAGTTTCAAGATTTCTGTTTTTTGTCACTATAATTGGAAATCCAGCCCTCACGGTTTATAACCCAGTTTTGAAACAATAAATGTCAAGCAATACAGAGGTTAGGCACAAAAATCTAAATGCAGACAGTGATGATGATTCTACTGATGACCAGGCTGTTAGAGGAAAGCCACAGTGACTCTGTGAGTGGGAAACCTCGTCCTTCCACTCCTGTGACTTTACTGAATCATCTGAGTGGACCAGCGAGTTCATTCTGTTTCAGTGAACAATCTCTAAAGAGTCACTTACAGTCTGCTGAACACAAACTCACTAAAGAGCAGGTCGAGTGAATGGGAGAGAGCATTGAGAGCTTTTCAATACACGTCACAGGTTAGGTCAATAGACTGTAAATAAAAGATGAATGTAATCACGTGTCATCTGACATTTTAAAGTTTCTAAATGTGATTTTTTTGTTGTGACAGACATAGAGAACCAAACAAAAGAAGACAGTTTTTAAAAATTGTAAACATTTCAATTCATTTTGGGGTTTTGGTCATTTCTGTAACACCTCCAGGAAATCTTTACTCCTATTTGGAGAAAGATCAAATAAATCTAAGCTTTGTTTAATCATTCTACCTCACTACAAAGAGCTACATAGTTGTTAAAATGTATGCCTGACATGTCTACTTAGATCAAAAAACTGTTTCGAAAAGCTACTGAAAATAATGGGAAACCCATCTGATAACCCAGCCATGGGGGAGCCACAGGCCAGTGGAGTCCCAGTGCCAGTCCTAAGCCCAGATAAATGGGGAGGTTCCCTGGTACTCAGGTTGTTGTACTCTACTTATTGTATTATTTATTGTATTTTCTTATTACTTGTCATTTCTGTTTGTTAAAAAACAAAAACAAAAACCCCAACTATTTATTTATTACTAAAAAACAAAACAAAACAAAACCCTTCCTCTTCTTCATCATTTTTGTTTCTTTTCACTCAGGGACCGTGTGTACATAATTTTGTTCCACCTCATGTTAACATGTGATGCGAATGACAAATAAAGCTCCTTGAATCCCTGTGTATGATCCACAAACAGGATGCCCTTTATATGCTGGACATTATCTTACAATTTGTCACGTCCATAATAATATCCCTATAATATGAAGCATCTCGCATTATGCAATTAAAAATGACAGAAATCTCTATATCAATAACAAAGTAATTTATGATATGAAAAAGGTTCTTTGTTACATATATTAGGTCCAAGTCAGTTTTTTTGTTTTGTTTTTTTAAATGTTTACTCCGGTATCAGGCATCCTGCACCAGCTATCCGATCTGGAGCGTAGCAGAGACATTTCTGCACTGCTCGGGGAAAGGCAAACTCAGAAACAGCGTTTACCTATCGAGTTAGGCCAACTAGGACAAAAACAAACAAAACAAAGAAGAAAAAAAGACCAAATTAGATCTTACATATGAATAACCTCTTGTCAATTGTCTTCAGCAGGGAGAAAGCATCTAAACTACTAGGTTGATTAATATGAAAGTCACAAGGCAGAAATCAGCAAACTGCTGCTTCACCGATTCCCAAAGAGCCATTAGTTGAATAGCTCAAAGCCTAATTTTCTAGAGATAAAATAAATAAGCCAAACTATTTGCAGTGAAATGTATTTCTATTCCGATTTGTTGGATCTTCCAAGGATAGCCTGCTGTTGTATATTCAAGCAGAACATACAGCAGAAGGCCATTTTTAAGCAGTTTAACCAACTTGGACAATTTTTAAAGTTCTGGGTTACAAAAGTCCCCTAACCTTTAAGAACTTACCAGTGCTTCATTTGCCTCTAGTCATTGCAGAGTTGCCTCTGCATTGTTCATCTCATCTATGTTGTTAAAAGGCTAATCCAGAGGCAATACACCGGCATCAACAGGTTCAGTGCTGCAAGATTAACGGAGGCTCTGAACTCCTCACGGAGGTCCCCGACTTCTCTGATCAGCTCTGTCCCCATGGTTATACGTTTTTAGAAGGCTGCATCTGTTAAAAAGAACAATAACACAAAGAATACTGGCTTGTGATAAACTGGACAAGCATTGTGATGAGAAAAACAACGATATTCATAAGTGATGGCTTCACATCTTGCATTCATGTTTAAGTAGTTCAATCTGTTAAAACTGTTTACAATTTAGCCCGTTCATAAAATGTCATAGTACAAAATTTTAGAACTGGCCTCAGACTCTATGGAATCTAAAAAAGCAAAATAAGATGATATTCAGCAGCATAAATTAGTGTTTTGAAGTTAAGATTACAATGTAATTGTGATGCAGCTCATTGTTTCAAAGCATACCGTCGTTAGAGAAGGTACTGAACGCAGACTATTTGCTGGGGAGGTCGCATAGCTGTGTAGGTTGGCGAAAGGAGCTGGCCGGGGGATCATGATGGTTGCTAGTAGTGGGTTGGGGGGCAGACTGCAGAGTGGTGGAGCCTGTTTAGAAAAATGTTTAAAAATAAAAGAAAATACATTGCTACTATCTATCTATATACACAACACTACATCATACATGATAACCTGTACTGTCACAAGTGCGGCCTGGGGAAAGCTTTTATTTTGGAGGTTACTCATCATCAGAGTCTGTAACTGTATAAGGGATTTGGTCTAAAACAAAACAAAAGTTTTGAACTGCACTGTGATTTTTGCTTATTTTGCCTTAAGTTACAGTAAAATTTACAACATCACACAAAAATGGTTAAAAACTAACAATAATTTGAAGACACGAGTATCTTACTTGTTTATGGGTGGATTGTACTCTTCTGATCTGAACTGAGAAAATGAAAAAAAAAAAGCACAATGTCAATAAAAAGAGGAAAAACATGATATTCAACATATGTTCAAGATAAGTTCCAGGGTAGGGAAGATTCATTGTTAAAGTCACAGAAACGGACAGTCACGTGATCGTTAGGTCTCAGGGGACTCTTTCACGTGTTTATAAATGGAAGTGGTGCGGTCAAATCTTCAAATGTAACACACTCATTGTAGACATTTGTAGAGGCAACTTTACGTTTCTGGATCATATTGCACACATTTGTAAATCTTTTGAGGGAATTAACTCTACATACAGCAGCCATAGAGCGAGAGTCGGGGTGGGTAAGCCGACTGCAGGGCTAACAAACGAGCCCTTGTAGCTTTATAACGGAAAGACATGAATGTATGATATGAACATGTTCTCTTTGTTCAGAGTTGTTATTGTCTGTCAGTTGTCTTCCAGGGGCCAGAGCAGATGACATTGAGGGAAATTTAAAACTGCTGGCTAAGGGTAAACGTAAATTCAGTAAGATCATAATTCACGTCGGCAGTAATGACACCCGGTTACGCCAATCGGAGGTCACTAAAGTCAATATTGAATCGGTGTGCAACTTTGCCAAAACAATGTGGGACTCTGTAGTTTTCTCTGGTCCCCTCCCCAATCAGACCATGTTTAGCCGCATGTTCTCCTTAAATTGCTGGCTGTCTGAGTGGTGTCCCAGAAACGATGTGGGCTTCATAGATAATTGGCAAACCTTCTGGAGGAAACCTGGTCTTGTTAGGAGAGACGGCATCCATCCCACTTTGGATGGAGCAGCTCTCATTTCTAGAAATATGGACAAATTTATTAAACCCCCCAAAATATGACTATCCAGAGTTGGGACCAGGAAGCAGAGTTGCAGTCTTACACGCCTCTCTGCAGCTTCTCTCCTCCTGCTACCCCCCCAAAAACCCATCTCCATAGAGACTGTGTCAGCTCCCAAACAGACAAAAAACAAACTAAAAACCAGCAACAAACAACTTAAACATAAACAATCACAAAGAAAGAACAATACAGTATCCTCGACAGCACCAATCTTCCAAATGAGCCTATTAATCAACCCAGACAGACTTTTAATTCATTTGAAAGCCTGATGCTTAACCTTGTCCACCCCAGCTGTAAAACTCAGAAACCAGTCTTATTTGAAAACTAATGTCACGGCTGGGGCAGCAGTCATGTGGTGTAGTGAGGAAAAGGATCCAAAATGCAGGTACTGGCTGGGGTGCGAAAAGCCTAAACTGGGAAAACTAATAAACAAATCTGAAAACATGAGGACGGACCAAAACAAAAATAGGAGCTCCAGGAACCCAAATCAAAATGTCCCTCACACACACACACAGGAGCCCATGAAACAGTTCAAAACAGAAAAATCACCAGAGGTCAGGGAATAGTTCACATAAAGTCCACAAGGTCAACTTGAAAGATGACGGTACAAAAGTCCATCAAAAGGTAACTCAGGGGTCGGCCCGAGGTCGACGGCACAAAAATCCAAATTCAGTTCTGGGTCGGCTGCGCAAAAGCAGCAGCGGCATAGACACAGTTCAGGCAGCGGCAACGCAGGCGAACCAAATCCAGGGGCCGACCACGCGGAAGGCAGTGGTAGTGAAAGAGCAGGTCCGGAGGCTGCTGTGTGGAAGGCGCCAGTGGAGAAACAAATCCAAAAACTGATCGCAGCAGCGACACAAATCCAGAGGCCGGACGCGGGGAAGGCAGCGGCGGCGACACTGTTCCGGAGGATGTCCACAATGGCGATGACGTCCAACCAGCGGCCTAGAAGATGGCCGGCGATGTTGAGGTCGAAGACGCAGACCGGATGGCGGCGTGGCAGCCGCAGTACCAGGCGAGGCTGGAGCTGAGACTGGACCAGGCGAGGATGACGCTGCAGATGAGGATGAAGCTGCAGACGAGGATGTGGAAACCCTAGGTGATGGAGCTGCAGGTGACGGCGTGGAAACCGCAGGTGGTGGTGATGGACAGGCTCCTTGGACCCCCCAGCAAAGAATGAAGGCGGAAGAGGCTCCTCGGACCCTCCAGCAAGAACAGTCAGAACCAGCAGGCACAGGGGCCTCTGGCAAAAACAAAATAAAACCAGCAGGCACGTGGGCCTCTGGCACACATGAAGCATACTGCAGCTGCACAGAGCACTGACGCTGCTCAGTTCTCAGCTGGCTTTTTAGTCTCCAGCGGTCCAGAGTTGGTTGAGGGCTAAAACTCAGCTTCTGGGGAGGCCCTGGAGTGAGTTAAAGTCTGTGAACAGGCCAGCTTTTGAGGAACCAGTTCAGTTTTAACGTGTTCGTCTCTCTGCTCTGTATGGAAAGTAATACAGACCATAACGGGTTGTATTGCCATAGCTTCCTTTACAGAGGCAGGTAAAAGCAAAGACTCTACAGGTGACAAAATAGAGGAATGAGTGGATGAGGAGGCAGGTAACTGAACTGCAGACAGTGCTACAGGCTGCACTAAAGGCTGCACAGATGGCAGAGCTGATGGCTGAGCTGATAAGATAAGATAAGATAAGATAACCTTTATTAGTCCCACACGTGGGAAATTTGTTTTGTCACAGCAGGAAGTGGACAGTGC